CTCAAGCTGGGTACGTGGAACATACATACACTGACTAACAGAAACCCCAACAGACTGGAAAGGAGAACAGCCCTCATTGGGAGAGACCTGGGCAGATCCAACATCCAGATCCTTGCCCTCAGTGAGACTTGCCTACCCGACGAAGGGCAGCTCACAGAAGGAAAAGCTGGTTACACATTCTTCTAGAGTGGTTGTGGTAGTGAAGCCAAATGGGAAGCAGGTGTCAGCTTTGCTATACAAAACAGCCTCGTCAAGAAGCTGACCTTCCTGCCCAAGAGAGTAAATGACTGACTGATGGTGCTCAAGCTCCCCCTGCTTGGCAAAAAGTGTGCCACTGTCATCAGTGCACACACCCCTATCGTGACCAACTCTGACGAAGTCAAGAACCACTTCTATAATGACCTTCACTCTGTGATTGCTGCTGTACTGAAATCTGACCATCTCATCCTTCTTGGTGACTTCAATGCCAGGATTGGCTCTGACTGCCAAGCATGGGATGGCATCATTGGGAAGCATGGGTTCAGAAGCTGCAATAGCAATGGTCTTCTGATCAGACTACGTGCTGAACATGAGCTCCTGGTTACTAACACTGTGTTCTGTCTCCCCAGCTGGAAGAAGTCACAGGGGCATCTCCCTCCTCTCAACCACCAGCAAGATACTTGCGAGAGTCCTCCTCAACTGGCTGACTGACCATTTAAATGACCTACTTCCTAAGAGCCAATGCAGCTTCAGAAAATGATGCAGAACCACTGATGCGGTGTTTGCATTCTGGCAGCTTCAAGAAAAAGGCCAGGAACAGAACATTGACCTTCTCCTCACACTTGTTGACCTAACTAAAGCCTTTGAAATGGTGAACTGTGAAGCCCTCTAGGAAATCATAAAGAAATATGGATGCCTCAGAAAATTCATCGGTACATTTCAACAGTTCCATGGCGGTATGGTGGCAGCTTGGCATTCTTGCAAATGGCGAATGCTCTGACCCCTTTCTGGTCACAAACAGCATCAAGCAGGACTGTGTGCTCATTCCTACCCTTTTCAGCATGGTATTCTCTGTCATGCTGTCAGATGCCTTGGTATGGGGATCAGGTACCATTTTGATGGAGACATCTTCAACCAGCACAGGCTCCGAAGGCGCTCCGAAGTCCAGACAGCCATACTTCACGATGTCCTCTTCACTGATGACTGTGTGTTATGCACAGGCTCACAGGCTGACATGCAACGGTCCATGGACCTATTCTCATCAGCCTGTGACAACTTTGGACTCACTATTAACACGAACAAAACCAAAGTGATGTTTCAACCTGCACCTGGCACAAAACCCCAGGAGTCACACATCTCAGTTAAAAGCCAACAACTGTTGATAGTCGACAAGTTTGTCTGTCTAGGCAGCACACTGTCCTGTGCTGTCCACCTAGACAATGTAGTCAACTCAAGACTAGCAAAAGCTAGTGTGGCCTTTGGCAGACTCCATAAGTTGGTCTGGGACCACAGAGGCATCAGAATATCGACGAAACTGCAGGTATACAAAGCCATCATTCTCCTGACCCTCCTTTATGTCTGTGAAACCTGGACTGTCTATCAGCATCATGTCAAGATACTAAACCACTTCCACCTGTCCTGCCTGTGAAAGATACTAAAGATCAAGTCGCAGGACAAGATTCCAAGGTGTTTGGGAGATGAGCTCTCCCCAGTATTCACACTCTACTGAAACTGGCACAGCTAAGATGGGCCGGCCACCTTTCAAGAATGCCCGACACTTGCCTGCCGAACAAAATGTTCTACGGCGAACTGTCAAATGGAGTACACTCTCACAGTGCACCAGAAGAAGCAGTACAAGGACACACTAAAGGTGTCCCTAAAGAGTTTCAGCATCAACCCAGTCATGGGAGCAAATCGCTTGTGACCGTCCATCCTGGAGGTTATGAGTCCAGAACAGAGCACTGGCCTTTGAACAGCAACGCATGGCAGAAGCAGTGAAGAAATGCATGACCAAGACAACAAAAACCTCTCATGCCCAGTCCTCATTGCTCTCTTGCCCTTGCTGCAACAGATTCAAGGCAAAGATCAGGCTTATAAGTCACCTACATACCCACGCAACCTAGCATCCACCTCACTCCTTCCTCTGTTTCTTTCCCAACGCTTTTCTCTCTTCTTCCCCACTCCCCCCCAGCACTGGATGCAGTTGTCTTCACCCGTGAAGGACAAAATATATAAAAACTTCCTTAGCGTGCCTGCAAGAATGTAGTGCGAGACCATATCAAAAGCCTTGCCAAAATCAAGGTAGACCATATCCACTGGTTTCCCCCATCCACAGAGCCAGTCACCTCATCAGAGAAGGCAATCAGGTTTGTCAGGCATGACTTGCCCTTGCTGAACCCATGCTGACGGCTCCTAATCACCTTCTTCTCCTCCAAGTGCTTAGAAATGGATTCCTTGAGGACCTGCTCCATGATTTTTCCAGGGACTGAGGGGAGGCTGACAGGTTTGTAGTTCGCTGGATCCTCCTTTTTTCCTTTCTTGTATATGGGCACTATGTTTGCCCTTTTCCAGTCATCTGGAACCTCTCCTGATCACCATGAGTTTTCAAGGATGATGGCAAATGGCTCTGCAATCACATCAACCAGCTCCCTCGGCACCCTCAGGTGCATCCCATCTGGCCCCATGGACTTGCAAATGTCCAGCTTTTCTGAATATTCCCTAACCTGTTCTTTTGCCACTGCTGGCTGCTCACCTCCTCCCCAAACTGTGTTGCCTAGTGCAGAAGTCTAGGAGCTGACCTGGCCTGTGAAGACTGAGGCAAAGAGCACTGAGCACTTCAGCGTTTTCTTCATCCTCTGTCACAAGGTTGCCTCATCCATTCAGTAAGGGACCCAAACTCTCCCTGATCCTCCTTTTGCTACTGACATACTTGTAGAAACCCTTCATATCCCTTGCTAGCTGCAACTCCAATTGAGCTTTGGCTTTCCAGACTTCATCCCTGCATTCCCAAGCAATGTTCTTGTACTCCTTCCTAGTTATTTGTCCAAGTTTCCATTTCTTATAAACTTTCTTTTTGTGATTTGGTTTACTGAAGAGTTCCCTGCTAAGCCAAACTGGTCTTCTGCCATACTTGCTAGCCTTCCTGTGCATCAGGATGGTTTGTTTCTGCACTCTTGTAAGGATTCTTTCAAGTACAACCAGCTCTCCCAGACTCCTCTCTCCCTCAGACTGGCTTCCCAGGGGATCCTGCCCGTGAGTTCTCTGAGTGAGTTTAAGTCTGCTTTCCTGAAATCCAGGGTCCTTACTCTTCTGTTCTCCAGCTTTCCTTTCCTCAGGATCGTGAACTCCAATCATCTTATGGTTACTGCTGCCAAAGTTGCGATCTCCTACTACATTCCCCACCAATTCTTCCTTCTTTATGTGCAGCAAGTCAAGAAGAGCATGACCCCTAGTTGGCCAGTCCAGCACTTGCACCAGGAAGTTGTCCTTGTTATACTCCAAAAACTTCCTGGTTTACCTGTACACTGCTGTATTGCCCTCCCAGCAGATGTCAGGGT